TATAGTAAAAAAACGGCAATTATTTAAAAAAGAAGGAGTAGAACACAAGTAATCATATTGAATAAGAAATATCTTTAAAACAAGTTAACAAATATCCCATATATCTTAAAAGAAGAGTTGTGCTCGTTATACTTATGTAGCTCTAAATTCTAATCCGTCACATATATACAATTCTCTATTTTTGCACATAGATAGTACCATTAACATCGAGAAGAAAACGAAAATAGCAACATTTTGCATGGGGCTTAGAAAAAAGTTGTTTGCAAATTCAGAGGGAAGAAAAATCAGTGCCTCACAATTAACACAAAGGTTAGTTTTTGTAAATGTTAATTAGAGTGAATTCTGTTGATTTTAGACCAGTATTTCACAAATGCTTACTTTGTTCGCTCTTAAAAATGATAACTTCGGAGTTCGGATACATGTACAATGCACAAACTACATAAATGTTTGAGTCTTTTATTTTGATTTGAAGTAGTTAGATGGCAGAAGCAAAACGAAAGAGTACCAAAATTCATCTCCAGCAGTCCATTTAAGCATGCGTACGTACCAATGTCGTTGCAACAGAAATTAAACTCAATCTTCCCTCTTGTTCTTTCGCGTCAATCTTCGGTTCTCATCTGTATCTTTCATCAGCCTATTGATGTGAACCCATTCATCGCAATCATCCTTCCATCCAGAATAATAGATGAAATATCTCCCACCATTTTCATGGTGATCAACGTGTTTTTTATCCGGGCTAAGCAGACACTTTTTCACACAAACCATGAGGGTTTTCCCTTTTTGAAATAAACTGGGCCTTGGGGCAATCCACGACGGGTTTCTAGTCTTCTCCATTGGCCTCTGCGATTATGTGATCATTGGCAGGGGTTGAAATATTCCAGGTAAGCCAAATTAAAGTTGATTGTGGTTTGAACTATACTACCTCTTTTCACTCAAAAAAAAAAATAGTCGAAAATGATTTTTGATATTTATATTATTTTAATTTAAAATCTCAAAATTTGACGTGATTTAGCTTTTGGGAGAAGAAGTGAAGATATATACTGCTATAATATAGATTTTAGTTATCAGTAGTTTTCAAAAGAAATGTTAGTTTTAAGGAATGGTAAAAGTTAAAAGTTAAAAGTTACATACTGAAAGGTTTGCCAGCTGGTGCGGCCGTGTCCCCTCAATTTTCTATTTTTTAAAAAAATTTTGATCTAAAATTATTAGCGAAAAATTACAATGAGTTCAAATTTGCAATCCTTTGAATAATTTTCAATAATTATTTGAAGAACCTAAGGTAATTTACGTTTCAAAATGTTTGCAGCCATGTTTTCTATATGGTAAAAAATTTTAATTTTAAGGAATCAATAACAAACGTTTTGAAAAATGTTAATTAAATTTCATAATCGGAAAATATTATAATGCAATATCCAATAACAAAAAACATATAAACTTCTACTGTTTTTATTTCATTTTGTAAATTCTATTAAACTGTTTGATGTTGCCCGTAGTTTATGTATTCTCCAATAAAACGGAATGGCACACTTTCATTTAATATTCAAATTGGTTTTTCTGAATAGGCCACATGTGGTGCCAATAATACGAAATGACATATGCAATTATACATTAGTTTCAATAATCTTCGTCAATCTATGTGCGACAGGTTAAATTCTGAACAAGGAGAAAGAAATCGGATTCGGATCGGTTGTTTTCTTTCGAAGAAACACACAGGCTCTCGCCATTTGACCAAGTTGGTCACTCCTTCTCACCATCCATGTGATCTCCCAATGATCTGGCCTTTTCTTTAAGGCTTACCTCATTAGCCTTACGGTGTGCCTAGTGTACCCTGTGGTTGAGCTTGCAGGGGTGATGAAGTACGGGGTTTTAGCCCAGATTTTTGAAGAATAAGACTTGCAGTTTCGGAGCGAAAAGAGTAAACTTTTTTATCTGGTGTAAAACCACAAGTTCAAGCCTTGACCCAGGAAGGGTACATAAATTGCTAGGTTTCTTAACCGCCTACACGTTATTTCAAACACGTTATATTAAGAATATAACCTGCAGGTTATTTGAATTGCCCAGCTTCACCATGTTTATTTTATGGCGACCTTCCTCATTCTTGAGTATCATAATTTCATGAATACGGGGATAAATACGATGAAACTACAATGGATGGTACGTATGTTTAAAGAATACAAAAATACTAAACTATCCAGCTATCGTAGTAATAAAAATTTTATTAATACATTTGTAATGCAATCAATCAATACACGCATAAATGAAAAAATGTGACTGGATCTTAACATGTTAATAGCACGACTGTTGCCCGAATTTGCGAAGAAAATGGTGCAAATCTTAGTACCGTAGGTTATTTATTTTTTACGATGATATGGTATAATTAGATTAACATATACTAATTCAAATTGTGGCCACAGTTGCACAAACTAATGACACGAGTATTCTTATTAAAATTGAATGCATCCATGTATCTTGAGCATTTCTTTGAAACAAATCAATTGATCATTGCTGGGTTGGATGAAAATAAGAAATTCTATTATAGGCCATGGATAGGAGTTGGATGAAAATAAGAAATAGAACAGATGAAGCATATCTATTGGGAGTGCAAAAGTTTTTAGATTTTGCCTATAGTGGCTTAGAGCCAAATGAAAAAATCCAATGCCCTTGCAACGACTGCAATAACTACCGGGATCAACCTAAGAACTATGTGATGTCACTTAATTAAATATGGATTTCGTAGAGGCTATACTACGTGGAATTTTCATGGAGAGACATTTGAAAATAATTGGAATGAAGATAATATATCTCATGACATGAAACAAGATGATGAAAGTGATTTGAACAGTATGTTAAAGAGGGGAAGAAAGAGGTCAAGAGATTCGTTTTGAAAAAGATGGTGAGGTTGATAAATTTCACAAAATGTTGGAAGAAGTAAAGGAAAATCTTTACCGAGGTTGTATCAAATTTTCTAAACTATCTTTTATTGTGTCTTTGTTGCATTTAAAGACTACAAGTGGTTGGACCATAAAATCCTTTGATTCTCTACTGGGAGTATTTAGGGATGTGCTTCCACATGAAGCTTTAAACCCAAAATCATTCTATGAGGCTAAAAGGAATATCTGAGATTTGGGTTTTAAGTATGAAAAAATCCATGCATGTGTTAATGATTGTGTTTTGTATAGGAAAGAATACAAGGATTTAAGCATTTGTCCAAATACAAATTGTAATGAGCCTCGTTATATGTCTAGTAGTTCCAAAGTTCCTCGTAAGGTATTACGTTATTTCCCCATAATCCCTAGACTGCAAAAGCTATATGTAAACAAGGATATAGCTTATGACCTGAGGTGGCATAAGGAAAAACGTGATACTAATTCTTCTAATGCCATGAGTCATCCAGCCGATTGTAAGGCATGGAAACATTTAGACAAAACTCATGAGTCATTTGCACAAGATTCTCGCAATATTAGATTGGGACTTGCAACCGATGGATTTAACCCTTTCGGGAACTTAAGTAGTGCATATAGTATATGGCCTGTCTTTGTTGTTCCTTATAATCTACCACCTCGGAAATGCATGAAGGACCCATTCATGATAATGTCATTGCTAATCCCTGTACCGAAATCTCCCGGTAATGAGATTGATGTCTATTTACAACCACTTATTGATGACTTGAAGCTATTGTGGAGTGGTGCAGATGCATATGATGCATGCAAGAGTGAGAGATTTACATTGCATGCTGGTGTTATTTGGTCAATTAATGACTTCCTGTGTATGCTATGTTATCTGGTTATAGCACTAAAGGGTACTTTGCATGTCCTTTGTGTATGTATGATACATCTTGTGATCATTTGCGGTGTACTTGGAAATTGAGTTACACAGGGCATCGTAGATTTTTACCAATAGATCAACGCTGGAGAAATGAGAAAAAAGCTTTCAATGGCAAAGTTGATCATAGAGAACCTATTGTACCCGTCGCAGGAAGAGAGATTATGCAGCAATTGGAACCATATCAAGATATTGCATTCTTTTTTGGTAAGACCAAGAAAAGCACCTCCAATGGGAAATGTAAGCGCGAAGAATATGGTTGGAATTGGACAAAGAAGAGCATTTTCTTTGATCTACCTTACTGGGCAGATTTAAATTTAAGACACAATATAGATATTAAGCATGTGGTAAAAAATGAAGCCCTATTTGGAACAATCATGGGGATTAAGGGGAAAGCCAAAGATAGCTGGAATGTCAGGAAAGATCTGATGGAATTGGGTTTGAAAAAGGAGCTGCACTTAATTCCAAAAGGGGACAGTTTCTTGATGCCAAAAGCTTATTTTAGTTTCACTAAAGATGAGACAGAAAAGATTTGCAATTTTTTGGCTTCAATCAAGTATCTAGATGGGTTTCCTTCAAACATATCTAGGTGTGTGAAAAATGGAGAGTTTCAAATGTCAGGAATGAAGAGCCCTGATTTTTGCATACTCATGCAACGTTTACTGCCACTTGCAATTCGAGATTGCTTGAATAAAGAGGTTCGCCAAGTATTGATTGAGTTGAGTGATTTATTTAAGAAGTTATGTTGCAGAACACAATATGTAGATGTCTTGGAGGAGCAGGAAAGAAATATTGCAGTTATACTTTGTAAGTTAGAACGAATTTTCCCGTCTTCCTTTTCCGATATCATGGAGCACTTGTTGGTTCATCTACCTACAGAAGCTAAGATTGCAGGGCCACCACAATATCTCTGGATGTTTCCTTTTGAGAGGTAAGTACTTTGTTTTTTTAAAAGACTCTTTGATTCCCTTGTTTTCCTCATTTTTTGAAATATGTATGTTAGTACATAGTCTAATATATTTTCTTGCAGGAAAATGGGCACATTAAAGAGTTATGTAGGTAACAAAGCTCGTCCAGAAGGTTGTATTGCTGAGAGATATATTGATAATGAATGCTTGAGTTTCTGCTCCATTTATTTGGAAGATATTGATTGTATTCGAAAAGAGCGTAATAATGAAATGGAGGATGCGGGTGGTGAATTGTATGTGTTTTGTTCAAAGGGGAGGCCAGTTGGCGGACCAAAGCATGACGATATAAGTGATTTGGAGCTGAATAAAGTTCATATATTTGTTCTTAATAACACTGATGATGAAGAGATTGAAGAACACATCAGGTAATGTTCCAGTTCATAATTTGAAAAGATAGAGTTATTTTACTTTATTTATTTGCTGCGAAAATTTCTACTAATCGATTTGGTTACGCTATTTTGTAGAAACCACAAGCTGAAACTTGAGGCAGAATGTAGTGCTAACATAGATCAACATCATGAAAGAGAGTTTCTAGCATGGTTTCGACAACAAGTAAGGTGGTTTTCACTATTTTGTGTACTATATGTGATTCTTAAGATATATTCAAAATTATAACATTTTTAACATTGGTTGGCGATTGACAGGTTCTTAAATCTTCTTCACCCTTGAGAAGAGAAATCCGATTATTGGCATTGGGCCCAGATAGTCGCATTAGAAGATATAGTGGGTGCTTGATAAATGGTTTTAGGTTTCACACAAAGAGTCGTGAGCGTGATCGGAAGACACAAACCAGTCACACTTAAACATCACACAAAGGTGTTGATGTTTAAGTGTGACTGGTTTAATTTGGGTGATACTCGTGGCATGCAAGTAGATAAAGAATCGGGAGTTATTAGTGTAAATGTTTCCCGTGCATGGTATTCAAAGCAGCCATATGTGCTTGTTCAACAAGCTGAACAAGTGTTTTTTTTACATGACATGAAGTTAGGCAAAGATTGGTGTGTGGTTCAAAAGGCTAATCCTTGTAGCTCTTATGAAGTTCTTGAATTTGAACAAGGACCAGGTGATGAGATTATCCAAAAAGAAGAACCAGGATTTGTTTTATGTGTGGACCTTGGAGAGATTCCACAACTTGATAGGGATGTACCATCATTTGACAGCATTGATGCCACAATTGTGAATGCTGCCACTGCAGAGACTTGTATTGAAAATGACTACGATGATGAATTTATTGATGATGAAGATTGTGATGTTGATTGTGGTGATGAAACTCTAGCTACTGACATTGTTAAAAATGTAGGGCTGCGGACGGATGATGATGATTATGTTGATGATGATGGTTAGGACTAAGTCCCACCTAATTTACAATTTTTTTGTAATAAATTGTATGGAACTAAGTGTTTAATTGTGTTTGGTCTAAACAATTTGAGCTATATGTGATATATATATTTTGCTCTTTAGAATAAATGGTTTAAATGATTTGCTATGCTAACTTAACATTTCTTTTCGATTTTAATAAATTAATCCCTTTTAAATTTGGTTATTAGATGACAGGTCCTGGCAAGGGAAGAAAACCTTTAGTGAAGAAAAGAAGAATTGAGTCTCTGGGGCTTAGAGATTCAATATCATCCCAAGGTCAAAAATCAGCCCAAGGAATGTCTACTTCTACCACTGAGCATAATGTTTCAACAAAATCTTCACCTTTTCACTTAAGAGATGAAAATGATGAAGGTGATTTTCAAGTTCTTAACAATAATGAGGGAAAGGAAAGTTTAGGTGCGTAAAAAGTTATTTCCTTGATCTCAAACTCTTTTATGTTTACCTTTGCTTCTTTTGTTCAGAGACTCCTTTGTCTAATAAGTGTATCTTTGATTTTTATTATTCAGAGACACATTTGGCAGGCGATTCAGGTTAGAATGTCAATGATTCCACCTTTATCTTTTAATTTATAATATTTTTGAGAGGTAAGTACTAATTTTTTGGAATCATTTTTTTCAGATATTCCTTTGACTCCCATGTCTGCTTGTTCAGGTTAGTAATTAATTGATTTTAGTTTTTTACTTTGTTTCTTTTCATGCCTATACATCTTTATGGTTTTGTGATTGGGTCATTAAAATTTTACAGGTAATCATTCATCATATATTCAACTCATTGGCTCCTTGTAATGCTTAATGTAGCAAAATCATCTACATTTGTTAAAAGAGGACAAACCAAAAACCTTAGTGGGCGTGAAAATGATGATGATGCTCCACACAAAGTGAAACTCGATGATTGTTACAAACGTGTCGTAGGTCCTAATTCACAATCATTCATGAATGAATCTAGTGTTGTTGCTCGCAAGTTTTGGAAGCACAATGTAACAAAATGGTCTCAGCTGGAAAAGGATGACCGAGAAGCCATGTGCCAAAGGGTTATGGTAAGTAATTAGGGCGGTTTTTAAACATGTACCTCAGTCAACTCAACTAGCACTTATTAACACATTTTGCAGGCTAAGTTTCTTGATGATGTTGTGGACGCAAAGATGAAGAAAGCTGTTGAATAGCAAGTCAATAAATCATACAGAAATCGACGACATAAGCATAGTCGGCTCTTCAAAACATTTAAATCAAAGGAGGAAGCACTAAGACAAGTACCTGATGAGTTGTCCAAGGAAGAGTGGCTATATCTCTGCAATTATTTCACTTCTGAAAAATTCAAGGTTAGATATGATGCTTTTGTGGATTAAGTGAAAATTTGTAATTTATCATTACGTCTAATAGTTAAATTATGGTTATCATTTGAACTGAACTAGGCAATGCGTAAGCGCAACACAGAGAACCGAGCCAAATCCAAAGAGCCAAACTTTACGGGAACCCTTTCTCTTGCAAGGTTTGCTGAGCAGCAGGTAGCGCTCAATTGTTTGTTTCACTCTTGATTGTAGTCATAAAATAAATATACTTTCCTTTGACATTCTTGATAACTGTAACAGGAAAGGATTCAGAATTAAAAAAACTCCCATTGACTTATTTGAATATAGTCGAACCTCAAGGAAGACAGGAACTATGCCTGGGGAAACGTCAAAATCACTTTGGTAAATAATGTGCAATGATTATTGACTTATAGATTTTTTTCTATTTTATATTCAATTTAGCGCTATGTTTTTTTATGTTAGGGTTAAATGAGGGACTTGGAAGGTGCCGGTTATGAACCTAAAGAGATTTGCATTGCAGCAGTTGGGAAACTACCTGGAAGTGCTGGTCGTGCCTTAACCAAAAGTTATTATCTTGAAGAAGCTCGCCATGAAAAGGAAAGAGCTGATGTGGCAGAAAAAGAAACGAAAGAAACATATGCAAAGTTAGAAAAGATGGCAGTGGAACAAGAAACACTGAAAAAAACATTGGTAGCTGAAAATGAAGTGCTCAAAGAGTCTTTGGCCGTCTTACTAGAGAGGGTTAATCGCATGGAAGCTCAAAATAATGCGTAAAAATGTAAGTTTTCAGCATTTAATTCCCATTCTCATAAATTGAGATTTGAGTATGTTTATATATTTCTAATTTCATGTAGTTTTAAAGTTGTTATAAGCTAAGGGTTACTTTTTGTTTGTTTGTCATTGTGTTTTATTCTTCTCTCTCCTTTTTTGTTCTTTTTTCTTAGATCAAGGTGGCTCTAATTTTTGAATTTTCCAGCATGTTATTCTGTTTAGTTATATTTTCAAGATTTATTGCTGTTTGTTGTAGTTTTTTTTAACTGAGCTTTGTGCCTTTTGGTTGCTTTATGAGATTAAACCATTAATCATGTTGTTAGTTTTTGGATTTATTTTTTAGGTTTTGGTTGATCCAAGTGTTTGTCTATGTTCTTAAGTAACCGTAACATTCTTATATAGTGGTTTGTTGATTTCAATTTCACTGCTGAAAAATGATATTAGATTTGAGTGGTCAAGTGCTTGCAATTAACTTGAGTGAAAAATTAGTGTTAATTGAGGTCAAATTCTACATTTTTAGTACTATTACGTGTTTTTATGGTCCCTAAGCTGCTTTGATTCAAATAATGTGGAAAATTGCAGATTAGCTTTAGCTTTTCAGAGCACAAAACTCTAGCAGAGCCAAAAATCGAGCATGATGTTTCAGCAAGAGAAATTTCTTAATGTTGAATCAACACTGCACCTTTGTGATCTTTGTAGTTTACGGGGTCTATATGCTAAATATTTTTTAAGAAATTATTTGTTGAGCTGACCTTTGTGATCTTAGTATTAAATTATTTTTATCCTCTAGATTAATTATACTTGTAGTGACTTTGTATGGTGGTTGATGTTCATATAGTTTTCTTTGGATGTTGGTGATGATATTAATAAGCTAAGGGTTGCTTTTTGTTTGCTTTGTCATTGTGTTTCATTCTTCTATCTCCTTTTTTTGACATTTCTACTTAGATCAAGGTGACTCTAATTTTTGAATTTTCCATCATGTTATTCTGTTCAGCTATATTTTTCAAGATTTATTGCTATTGGTTGTATTGTTTTTTTTTTCCAGCCAAGCTATATCTCTTTTGGTTGCTTTATGAGATTAAATCATTAATCTGTTAGTTTTTTGATTTATTTTTTAGGTTTTAGTTGATCCTAGTGTGTCTCTGTTCTTAAGTAATTGTAACATTCTTATAAGTGGTTGGTGATTTCAATTTCACTGCTGGAAATGATGTTAGTTTTGAGTGGCCAAGTGTTTGCAATGTACTTGACTGATGAATCAGTGTTAATTGAGGTCAAATTTTTCATTTTTAGTACTATTATATGTTATTATTGTCCTTAAGTTTGACTCAAATAATGTGGAAAATGGCAGATTAGTTTTAGCTCTTTAGAGCACGAAACTCAAGCATTCTGTTTCGGCAAAAGAAATTTCTTAACATAGGATCCACACTGCACCTTTATGACCTTAGTAGTTTACGGGGGCTATATGCAGAATATTTGTAAAGAAATTATTTGTTGAGCTGATCTTTATAATAAAAAATTTTTATGTGATACTAAATTATTTTTATCCTCCAGATTAACAATACTTGTAGCGACTTTGTATGGTGGTTGATGTTCATATAGTTTTCTTTTGATATTGATGATGATATTAACTTATCCTTTTGAGTATGGTGTATCTCTTACGTTTGAGTTTTCAATATGGCTTAAAAGGTAGGTAAATTGAGTTCTCATTGGTGTTTGAATCTTGAAGGTTGGTTGTCTATGAATGACACTCTGTCTTTTGGAGGTGAGTGACAAAAGTGTTATTATTATTATTATATCATTACTCATGAGTTAATTTGAAATCTTATCAAGATTTATCCTTTCGTTTGTTTTTTATTGTGGATTTGCAGGATTATAATGAAGACTTGCTTCGTTCTTTTGACTTGGAAGACGTGGAAAATAGCAATCTTTCTTGCATGTATGTAGTTGTGTTATTTTGTGGTTTTTCGGTATACTTGTAGCATGCACACTACACCACTTTGTGGGCTTTTGGTATAGTTATAATGCCTAGACATTTTTTTAACACACTTGGGCATAGTTGTTATGTACACCTTCCCGTCGCGTGGCGGCTTTTTGGTATATAAATATGTTTATGATTATAACTTTTAGATGTCATTTTAAACTGATTACAAATTAGTATTTTACGTTTTAATTTGTTGCCGAAAATTACTACAAAATGATGTCAAAGTTTGGTTATCACTATATTAGCCTTTTATAACGATTCTAAGTTGTCATTAGATCGACAACGACCAAATTGTCACATTAGTTACAACATTTGGGTTGTCATAGCTTGTCATAACAGTGATAAATTTAAGTCGTCATAACACTAACAAAGTTAAGTTGTCATAACAGTGATAAATTTAAGTCGTCATAACAACAACGAAATTTAGGTCGTCAAAATAGTGACGACTTACAGTTGCATGACAAGATAAAGTTGTCACTATGGTGACGACTTACGTGTTTTCGTTATTGGCTTCTACATTGATGACTCAGTAATGTTGTCAATAAAGAACTCTTTAATGACAAGCATTCAGCGACGACTCTTCGACAACAAAAATGTCATCATTAAACCTCTTTATTGACAACTTTTTGGGCTTTAGTCGCAACTGCAACTTGTGACTAAAGACCCATTTTCATGTAGTGATAGCTATATCAATTTTTAGGTTTTGGTTCAACTTATTTCCATGGTTTTAATGCTATCATTGTTTGGCATGGAACGTTATCGTGCCTAGCCGGATTATGATAAGGACTGATTGAGTCTTAGGCTTGGTTAGTTAATTTAGGCAAATGAATTGATTTATTACGGCTATCCCAATAGATATTTGGTTGAATGCTTAGATTACTTGAATCAATGAAATAATTGAGTTGTTCGTCTCTTGAGTCAGATGTTTGTTACTTTGATCTTTTCTTTAATTTATTTTTTGTTATTTGAATTTCATTATCATAGTTTAGAAAAACAATCCAACAATCCCATTTGCTTTAGTTTGAAGAAAACAATCTGCCGTTCCCTAAGGAGACGGTCTTACTTCTCTACACTGTTATAGTTAGAAGTGGATGTATTTTATTTGTGTGGTTTGACACCCCATTAGTTAGACAAAAAATCGGTGAGACGAGTAGAGCGGAACTTAGCCCGATGCCTACTACCCAGAAGTTCTTCCTGTTGCTCAGTAGAAGAAGAACCCCACAATCCTCCCCCGTCGAGGAAGGAGACGGAGGACTATGGACGTCAGTAGAGAAAGGCTCATAAACAGTAGGAACCTTCGGAGAAACAGGAGTTTCAAAAACAAGTTGTTCATCAGAACGAGGAACCACAACATCAATAGAAGAAGCATCATCATCCAAGAAAGTAGAATTATCAACCAAAGGACGATCGGTACTTGAAGGAGTTGGAGAAGAATAAGAAAACTCCGATTCAGAAAAAATGACATCACGAGAAACAAAAAATTCACCAGTATCTAGATCATAAACCTTCGAACCCTTCTTACCATAAGGAATAATCCACCAAAACACATTTGCGACTCCAACTCTAAAATTTTTCACCCTGGTGCCCCTAATTATGAGCATAGCAAAGACACCCAAATACCCGAAGGTGAGAAAGAAAAAGACCTCATACGAAGTTTGGCCATTTAGAACACTAGAGACAGTATGATTGATTAAATAACCAGCCGTGAGAACACATTCCCCGCCAAAGCTCAATAGGTAACTGTGTCTGAAACCACAAAGCCCTAGCGACATTCACAATATGCCTATGTTTGCGTTTTACCCGGGCATTTTGTTGAGGAGTACCCACAGAGGACGTCTCATGAAAAATCCCAAGTTTAAGAAAATTACTAGACATGCACAATAATTCATTACCATTGTCACTCCGAACACCTTTGACAAATTTACTAAACTGACGTTCAACCATGGCAAAGAAACTAAACAAAGTAGAGAAAACCGGTTTCTTATAAACCAACAAAAATATCCATGCGAGAAACGTCATCAACAACAGTTAAGAAATAACGAGTCCCAGAAAAAATAGGAACACGATGAGGGCCTCACAAATCACAATGTATCAAATAAAAAATGGCATGAGTTTTAGCGGTACTAATAGGAAAACTATCCCTAGACTGTTTGGCTCAGAAACACACATCACAAGACTTATTAGAAAAGCCACTATTCTTTCGAGAACCAACAGAAGGAATCAACTTGAGAACCTTAAGAGAAAGATGCCCCAATCACCGATGCCACAAATCAGAGGAGATCGCAGCAGTCTGTAAACCAGCAGCAGTCTCAATAGGCTTAAAGAAATATAGCCCCTCCCGTTGCTCACCCGCTCCAATCAGCATCCTCGAAGCGCGGTCCTGAATTACACAAAAATCATGAGTTAAGTGAGCAACATTATTAGAATCACGCAACAACTGAGAGATAGAAATAAAGTGGCATAACAATTGAGGAACATAGAGAATATTATGTAACGTCACTTTGCTGCTAAGAATAACAGTTCGGGCCTTAGTAGCAAAAGTGTGTTGACTGTTAGGCAGCTGAACCGAAACACCGCTATTGTCAAGAACATCCGAAAAATAAGCCAAATTTCTTGACATATGACGAGAAGCCCCTGAATCATACATCCAAAAAACGAGACCACCACATACTAGAGAGCTTCTCAGAAGAGCCAATTTTGGCAGATTGCAACAAAGTGATGAGGGTCTGCCATTGTTCGTCGTTGAGACCCGTCACGACATTAGCCTTCTCCCCGTGAAGAACTGAGTTCACAACTGCAGCCGGGTTTGAATTGGCACCACCCGGAACAACGCCGCATTCACCACCACGACCATGATCCTTTCCACATCCAGCTCCACGTCCAGCTCCCCGTGATCGATCAGGCCACCTCTCGGGGTACCCATGAAGCTGGTAACAAGTCAGAAACGTCGTGATTCGGACGATTGCAATTAGAACAATGGAGGGGAGCTTCAAGGACAGTCCCAAGACCAGCTGGCTGTGAT